TTTTTTTTTGGCTGTGGACGCCCTTCAGGACTGCCTTCTTGGCCTTCAATGCCTTTGCTTTGGCTTCGGTTTTGGGAGGGGCCGGGGCTGAAAAAGAAAACGAAGGTTCAGAAGCCCGTCACTTGTGGCCTCATTCGTGAGGCCTCCCTGCCATGTACATGGAATTCGCAAATCTTAACTGCAAGGGCATAGTGTGGCCAATTTGAGGCAAATTCCCCTCCTCTTCTGTTTTGTTCTTAGTTTTATCATGCTGGTGAAATTTTATAGACTGATGCTGGTACTGTTAATCTAAAAACAAGCCAAAACCCCTAATAAGAGTGTCAGAAATAGATATTTTCAGTCTGTGGGTCTGATTTGAACCTTATCTGTGCCCAGAGATCCTTTAATTGTTAGGACTAGTGAAGGCTTCTGGTTTATTTGCTTTTTTCCTCCACTATTACCTTATTTTTCCCCATTCTGCAGGTCTAATGAATAAAAGCATCTAAAGACAGAGGAGACTCTAGGTAGACTCCGGTCTTGTAGCACAATGGCACCATCTAGAACCTGTTTGTGAATTTTATGGTCATTAATACAAACATTATTCATTAACACATATTGTAAACGGCAAAGTTATGCGGCTGTCAGCTGCAGAGATCCTGCCGAAATCCTTTTTTCCTCCTGAACCTTCATTTATCCCTGAGCTTGAGAATAAAAAATGTTTTTTCTCTCTCTAAATCTACAAGTTTTTCCTTTGCACTATCTGAATTTTCTACACTTTTAACCTTCATTGTTTTTACCTCTTTAGAATGCTTTTTCTGTGCTTCTGGAACCTTCAAGGTCCAGTTCTCTTTCCCATTTGGCTTCTCTGAATCACGTTGGCTGATTAAATGTTTAATTTTACCTTATGGGGCACTCTGGTGGCCTAGTGGCTAAGGAGTTCCAGTTCCAACCCAAAGGCACATGGTTTGAGTCCACCAGCGGCTCCTGTGTCGTTTACAGGTTCAGTAAACCAGAGGGTCAGTTAAGAGTCAGTTCAGACTTGATGCTAGTGAGTTGAGTTGAATTCCACCTTTGTTGAAAGCTTATTTGGGTTTCAGAATTCTCTGTGGCCAGCATGTAGGCCTTTGGCAACAGCCTATTTTCCCCCAAGCTTTTGAACATTATATCAATTTCTGGTAGATACCAACTTCTGCCCCTCCCATTATGTGCCTGCCCTTTCCCATTATGGAGTGCACTGTGTAGAGCCAGAGCATTTCTGACAGGGAGAGCTGACAAAGCTGGGAACAGGAGGTGATTAGGCATCCAGTTTATGGACCCTCTGCACACTTTCTCAGGTGTTCTTTCTCAGTTGGGCTGACCCTCCTCTTGCCTTCAGAAGGCTTTCCCTGGCTTGTCCGTGTGCGATGGAAATACCTTATATTCACTGTACACACATCAGTGGTGAGTTTTTTTTTTAACCAAAGGAGGTGAAAGCTTTCCCTTTCATTCTTATTGCATTCTAACACTAATGTCTCAGAAGCAGTTTTTCACTTTACAGTTTGGTTTTTCTTACTTTTGGTTTACAGAGAGACATTGCTCACCTGCATATTCAGGAATTAAAAAGAGAAACTTGTGGACATGTTTGTTTTCTGATTTTCAGAATAGCTTTAAATAACCAGATGCTATAAATGTCTAATTAAAATAGAGGCTGTGTGAAATCCGGGGGTTTAGCTCTTTGCAGCAGTGTGTCTTAGTTCAGTTCTCTTTGTACTTGGTCTTTGAAGCCGTCCTTGTGTATGTGGGCTGGAACCACTCCCTTCTTTTGTGATGTCTTAGAATATTCTGAAAGCCCAAAGTTACTTGTTTCCAGCTAGCACTCCTCCTATTTGACTTCATTTCTGGGATTCATGGAGACATTTACTTAAATTATAAGGACAGGCCATCAGCTTCTTTGTATGACACTTTTAATGAGACTGTCTTGTTGCATTTCACCTAAATGCCCACAGAGCAGTGACTTTGTGGACTGTATCTAATGGGCACGTCTGTGTCCTGCTTTCCTCCCTGTTCTCAGGGTTGTGGCCTTTGTACTTTCACTTTTTTGTCTTAATATTTGATGGCATTGCAACAGGTCAGGGTGGCCAGGGGAAGGCTCTCGCTTAATGCTTGTGCCTTACAGATTCTGACTGATGTTTTCTGCAGCCCAAAGAGGAGGAAAAAAATGATTTCTGACTGAATTGATATGTGCTCTGGCAACATCTATTTGATTATTACTCTTAATTTAACAGATACTTGTTTATATTCTCTTAGAATGAAACCAGACCCAAATGAAGAGTTAGTCTTCAATTCTATTGCATGTTTTACTATCCTAACTTAGTAAGGTTGGACTTAACTTTTTCTTACTATTCTAGTTGTCCTTTTTAAGAAATTGACATATTTCTCCTAAATAGTGGTCCATCACATATTAGGTTAAACAAGAACTTTAACACTGATATATCTCTGCCTAAAATGCTGTTTGCGTAAGAGAGGCTATTGATTATTTTTTAAGTTGGCTGATGACACTGATAAACTGTCAGTATTCTGGATCACCTCTAATCAGTAGCCTTTTGAAACCAGAGATTAAAAAAAAATACCATCTGTCTTTTGTATGTTAAAGAATCACCTGACTTTGTGATTGGTTTTGACATCATTTACATTACATGGAAGGAGATATGATTGAAAAATATGACAGCTCAGCCATGTATTGATTTCATGTATTTTCATAGACTTCTTTTTTGCCATTTAACTTTTCCAGAGGAACTCCTTAATAACTTTGCCCAGCAAATAGGAGCTTGGAGATTCTGCCTGTACTTTCTTTCCAGCACTAGGAATGATTATGTAATGATGTACAGTTTAACAGTTTTTGAGGTAAGTTGCCAGATGCTTTTCTGCTATTCTGCAGAGTATTTTGTATCCAAGTTGCCGTGTTATGGACTTTAGTGTTGGTGAACAGATGGCTAGGAAGGAATATAACTTGGCTCAGGGTCTTCATACCAGATACCATCTTTAATGAGGTAACTGGTGCTTGGAGTGCATTACCATTGATGATAAAACAATGTAATGTCTATTTAGAAATGGACAAAACCCAGAAAATAAACTAGACAACTGAGGCCCTCTTGAAATGAAATCCTTTTTTGTATAATTAAATCTTTATCCTTCTATAAAAAAATAAAGCTACAGATTGGGGAAAAAATACTTGAGTAGAATAGCCTATCTGACAAAGGATTAATTCTTAATATTTCTAGAAAGCACCTCAGCAACAAAAAAGTCAACTCAATTTAAAAAAAAACGGGCAGTGGCCGTGGAAAGATAGCAACAAGCCGGATAAATGTTCTCGATTGTTAGCTGTTAACTCAGGGCTGCCGAGCAGGCTCTGCTCCAGCCCTCCAGCAAGCTTCGGAGGCGGTAACTCTTACTGAGAGGACGCTGCTCATCTCTGTCCCACAGAGCCACTGGCGTATTGGAACCACCAGAGAAGCGGAGTTTTAAGTTAGCAGCACAACTTGCTATGAACCATCCCACCAGGGCTCCCATATTACCTATTGTTGTGTGTACTGTCAAGTCAGAACCAACCCATAGCTGACCCTTCAGTGGGTTTTCATAGTAAGTTGTACAGGAGGAAATTGCCAGTCATCCTTCTGCAGAGTAGCTGGTGGATTCAAACCTTTGGAAGTGCAGCTTAACTTCTTAGCACTTGGCCACCAGAGTTCACTTATTAGCTATTGTAACTGTTGTTAGATGCTGTTGAGTATGACTCATAGCGACTCTGTGAACAACAGACCTGAACCCTGCACTATCCTATGTCATCCTTACCATCTCTGACACGCTGGAGTCCATTGCTGAGGTCACTGTGTCTATCTCATTGGGGGTCTAATCAAAATGACAAGGGGATACACAGCACTTCATTCTAGCAACAGTTACAAAGTTCAGTAAGAAAAAATAACATGCTGGTCATGTATGGAGAGTTTGGAACCCATGCACTACTGGTGGGCTGTAAAATGATTCCGCTTCCAGAAAGAATTTGATGGAGCTATGTATGACATGAATAGATATATGCATGTGTGTATAGCAAAGATATATATTCTCTCTTTTCATTGTGACATTGTTTACAGTAGCAAAGAGGTGAAAACAACCCATGTGTCCACCAATAAAGAAATACTCCACACAGTGGAATGCCACACACATTAAAAAATAGTGAAGAATCGTAAAACAGTATAGTAGTAGATGAATCTGGAGGACATGATGCTGACTGAAATAAGTTGGCCACAAAAAGGACAAAGGCTGGATGATTTCAATGTTATAAAAAACTAAGGAAGAGATAACACAAATCATTCTTTGATCACTAGGATGGTGAATATGGGAGAGAGTGAGAGGTTAGAACAAGTCAGTAACTGGAGAACTCACTGCCTTTTCGTCAGGGCTCTCCATTGGGCTGGTGAGGCTGTACTGCCATGACTGTCCAACTTTCTCCTGAACTAGATAACAGACACATTTTTAAGATATGTGGACACAAAAGGATGATCAGCACAGTCTCAAAAGAAAGCGATGACATGAAGAGGTACATCAAAAATAAAGCCACCAGCCAAGCAAACAGCCATCTGGTACACAGTCTTATTTATTAGTTCTATCAACGTGCATCTACAAGTGGACACGTAGGCAGATAGCCAAGGCAAAATAGATTTGAGCAGGTGAAAGGAATCACACCCATCACGGTACAGAAGTTTGGCAGATATTTCTACAGTCTTATTAGTATGCACTGTAAATAAATTCATGCACATGGTCAATCCAACAGGGCAAAGCTATGGAAATTTTATAATAACAAAAACACCCTGAAGGGATGAGCTAGCTGATGGTCCTAGGGCTTTGAGACCATAGTCTTGGGACTTCACAAGGTCAGCTGTGAGTGGTCGTATGTACCATTACTCACTAAGCCTTTTCTTTTTTTTTTTTCAGGCATTGATTGTATCATTTTTTTGAGTAGTTAAGAGATAATGTATAATATAATTTTTTTTGTACATAAAGCTAGTTTCTCTTAAAATATTTATAAGGTCTTTTCAGATGTAATTATTATATTACAAGATTTGAATATTTTTTGTTCTTTTTGCCAGATTTCTCAAACTCTTGTTTAAAATAGGATTTCTTATTTGATGAGTTGCTATATCTAACTATGGAATAAAAATCGGCTATTCTTTTTAAAATTGGCTAATTTAAAAGATACATATTTGTTTTTCAGAATTTGATCAATAAGCTGTGGCTTGGGGTCCCATCTCAGGATAAGATGGAAATCCGTAGCTGCCTGCCCAAACTTCTTTTGGCCCACCATAAAACCTTACCTTACTTTATCCGGAACAAACTCTGCAAAGTTATTGTTGATATTGGCCGTCAAGACTGGCCAATGTTCTACCATGACTTTTTTACTAACATTTTACAGGTAAGCATATACCTAAGAAAACTTAGAAAACCAACCAAGGAACCTTAAGTATGTGGTAAATAATTTGTTGGTAGAAGTGATTATTTCCTTGTCTTTTTAAAGGAATTTTAGGATTGATGTTTTGTAAATGTGATAGTGAGGTCAACGTAGAAGGATTGATCTCATTTATCTTTAGCCATTTTGTCTTGATTCGTGTACAGTGGAGAGAGGGAAAAAAAAACCCAAACAAAACCCAAAAAACCACAAACCCTCAGTAGCTTTTGTTCACTGCTTGTGAAATTTTATTCAGCAAATACATCTTTTGATTTCTTTGCATAGTGCCACTAAATGGCTTGGTGGGAATTACAAAACCACAGCAAGAAAAGCAGTCCACTGCACTGCAAGCATGTTTTTGGATAATTATTATATGCACAGTAGTATCCTCATTAAGTTATGAAGCTGTTGGAGGTCTTGTCCTTATATTCACAAAACTTCTCACAATACTTAAGTATTGTATTGGAGAAATTTGCTGTCAAGGACTTCTCCAAAAGTGTGAAAGAGCAAGGATAACAGTTTAAAGACTAAGGTGCTCTTGCTGTGAGCCATGGCATTTTCACTTGCTGCTTATACATCTGAAAGGTGGATAGTCATTAATGGTGACAGAAGAAGAATCTATGCCTTTGAGTTGTGGTGTTGGGGGGTCACTATGAGTCACAGTAGACTTGATGACACCTACCAACAACAGCAATACCACAGAAGTAAAGAGCATTCCACCCTTATAGGAGTAGGATCATGTAAGTAAGATTTATGGACTCCTAAAGAAGGGATTGGCCAGTTTTGCCATTCTGTCCTAAATAAGCTGTCCTAGAGGTAGAAAGGAGGCATCTATCCTAAAAAAAGGATAGGAGTAGAGTGGTACTTTAGATTTTGGAACCCCGCACTGAGAACCTTCTTGACCCAGAGAACAGACAGAGCTGTTGCACTGGAGATGGTATAAGACAGTGAGAAAGGAAGGCTGCAGAACCAGAGAGACTGATACCAGACAGTGAGAGGTTTCCCAGTCTGCTGAGCAAGACATTTACAGTATGCAGGCCAACCTGGGAAGGGAAGAAGCCCAGAGGCATTGCCAGTTGAGCTGCTTGCTGGTCATTGGAGTGAGGGAGCTTATTAATGCCTTCAGGCAGAAGGCTTCTGGGTGCAGGTAAGGAGCTTTATAACACTTGCCTGAGCAGGACATCTCCAGGCTGAGGGGCCTGAGGACCTGAGGGTCAGAGGCCTGCCTGTGGGTACAGTGGAGAGGAGGCTTGTTCTAACTGAAGAGCTGTAATCCTGAGCTGATTCTGATCCCGAGTTGTAATCTGTCACTTCTTTAGTCCTTGGATGAAAAAGATGACATGCAGGAAAAGGTACATGATTAACGAAATAGAGGAAAACTCTCAGTAAGAGAGGTTGACAGTGACTGTAACAGTCACCGAGTATGATCGTGATGGGTGCAGGACAGGGCCAGGCTCATAGGGTCACTGAGTAGTAGTGAACTAGATGGTTCAGCAGTAAATCCCTTAAGTGTTTGTATAGGGCCCTTGGAACAAATTGTCAAACTCGGAAAAATACAGTGCAGTGGGAGGGCTGACTGGTGTTAGAATGGGTGAAAAGATTGGAGAGGTGAGATATGTTGTCTCCCTCACAGGAATTCACTTGGGCTGATGCTGATGGTGGTGGTTTCTACTTGTGAAGTTAGAGGAAGTTAGACACCCCTACTGTTGGTATTTTTATCATGATACAGTGGAAATATTTGAAGGGTGTATAGTAGCATAACATTTGGACACAGGAGCCTAAGTATCCAATATTGTTGATGAGGTGTGATGGAGAAGTGACAGAAGACTAGATTGACAGGTGGGAGCCAGATGAGCTGTTGGCAGTTGTTGCCGGCGGATTTTGATGTGTCATTTCTAGTACTTGCTTAGAAACTTCTACTTTTTTTTTCCCCCAGAAGGGAGTGAGCCATGTGTTTCTGAGGGAATGATGGCTTTAGCCACAGTGCAGTTGGGTTTGCAGAGGCTTCTATTAGAGAAGTCTGAATAAGGCAGAGGCCCCCCTAGGTAGGATGAGGTAAGGCACTTAGGAGAGAGTTAGAGATGGAGTGATGATAACAAGGTTTAGGGAACCCGATCTACAGTGACTCCTAGGGTTCTGACTTAGATCACAGAAGTGGATTTTGGTGTCATTTACCAGACCAGGTTTGGGAAAACAGGGTGAATTAGGTTTGACAAGAAAAGACATTGAAGATACATGTGTTCCACTTATGTGATACCCAGTGAGACAGTAGGGCTGGGGTTTAGGAAAGAGTTCTGGCTTAAAGGTCAAGAGTTTGGAGGTTATTGGGACACAGGTAAGACCTAACAGCCAAGAAAGGAGCCCTGGCAGTACTGTGACTCCTCAATGACTGAAAAGTCAGTGTTAGAACACACCGCTAGTGTGATCACCTCTCGTGAAGCTCTTAGCCTGCGACTCTCTGTGGCGATTCTCTCTGTTCCTGTCACACAGAATCACTCTGAGTTGTAAATGTCTTGACAACACCTAACAGTAAAAGCCAAGAGTGAGATACTGTTGCTTGTTTCAGTTTTGTGAAAATCTACATTGTTGTCTTATTGTAGCAGTCTTGGGTATGGAGGAAATCAATATTTTATGCCGTTTATAGAAATAAAATTCTTTTAAAATTTATTGTAGTCTCAGTAAATGTAGATTAAGAATTTCCTAGAAAAATAGCATTTCTGATATTCTGCCTGTTCTTGCTTAAAAGCATTTGAATTATATAGGGTTGGGGTTTTTTTTAGATCAATATCCATATTACATCTCTCAGTTTACCTCTCAAAGTGGCAAAAAGAGCCTTCACTCAATTTTGATTTGTTTTTAAAAATGAACGGATCTGGAGATCTGTTGATTTTGTTACCTCAGAGGAGAGCCATGTAGTTGTTGAGCAAGCTGTTGGTTGAACATGAGCCATGTGCTTCTACCTAAGCACACACGAAGGCCTCACCCTCTGCAGGTTCCTAGTCTAGAGGGGGAGACCATGAAGTACAGGAAGCAAAGAATTGCAAGTCGTTTTGCATTACAAAAATCAACAAAAACCAAGGATAGGAGAGAGAGGGTGTAGGAGGTGTTAGGTGGGATGTCCATGGAGGTCTTTTCTGAAGAGCAGACATTTTCATAGAAACGTGAGTGGAAGGGGAAGCTACGAGGGTATGTAGGGGAGGAATATTTTAGGCCGTGGGGATAGTGAGTGCTGCTCTACAGTTGTAGATGGAGAACTGACTATAAAAATGGAAATTAACTTGTAGTTGAGGTGCACATGGAGGTTTAAAGACTCATCTTCCTCAGTCCTCTACCACTTCCTTTTTTCCAGCCCTCCAAAAACTTGAACTTCGTGTAGCTTCGTGGTCCTTTAGCTTCGTGTAGCTTCGAGAGCTTTGACATGCTCCGCAATGGAGAGAGCATTGGATTTAATGGCAATGTGGAGTGGTTTGACTTCTGTGTCTTATCATTGTCACAGTCATTTTTGGTTTCTGGCATTTCCTTCAGTCAGAATCACCTCAGTGACACCTAACAATGACAACTAGCTATGTGGGCCTTTATTTCCTTCTTTGTAAATTGAAGGTGTTGAGTAGGTAACCCTGTAAAATTCTTTCTAGTTGTAATATTCTCTACTTCTTTATCCATGAAAAGCAGGCAGTGCTATGGCATATAAACTACATTAGGAGTGATTGGTGCTTGGTTACTGGCATTTCAGATACTAAACCAAAATTATCAGATATTAGAAAACAATGCCAAACTGGTTCTTAATGAACTTAACCATTACACAATTCTAGATTAAAGTTGAGAAAAGATTTTGGGGTTTTTTGGGGGGTAGAGGACACAATTTCATCATCATATGTTTGCAGTTTGGAGTTCTTGTTTTTAATTTAACACTTAATTGTGACAATTAACTGGACATCTGTGCAGTTTGTAGTGTGAAGACCACAACCCCAAATCAGCAGAGGAGCTGATTTAGGAACTTAAAATCATACTTAAGTTCTTGGTATTAATATTCCCTTTTCTAGGCCACTGGAGAAGGAAGTAGTTGAAGTTGAAACTAACCCTTTTCGCCCCACCTCTCCACTCATGCACCGTGTGTCATTTCTCCCTGCACCCTGTCCTGAGATCCACGGAGGTAGATGTGAAGTTGTGCACTGTGCCTGGCTGGGACAGATAATTAAGAGAGATGAGGAGCTTAAGTAACATTACTGTCTCATTTTATTTTTTTTTTTTTTACTGTCTCATTTTAAAGTAGCATTGTTGTTGTGTACTGCAAGGTCGGAATGAACCAAGAGTTGATCCTCCAGTGGGTTTTTAGAGGCGCTTAATCACGTGGGAGGAGATTGAGCATCCTTCGCACATGAAACAGCTGGTAGATTTGAATTGCTTACCTCTGGGTTGCTAGCTTTACTCCTTACCACTAGGCCACCAGCACTCTCTTCTAATAGTGTAGTAATAAAAAAAAATAAGTTAAACCTTTTTAATAACATATACTGGGAACCCCCCCCCCCAAACCTTGAACTTTATCTTCAACTTGAAGGTATGTATTGTCTGCTAAAATAAATTGCAGGGTTTAAAACTGCAAATTTAAGTTCATTACACAGAGGCTGCCTATGTTATGAACTTAATATTGATGTGTGAAGATGGTAAAGGGAAATAGTTTAAATAAAAACCTTCCTGGACACATGACTAATTAGAAAAACCCAATCCAACCCTATTTTTCGGATTGTTCTTTCAAATAAAGAATAAATTTCTTTTCTGTCTGCTTTCTTCAATGAGAGATGGAAGAGCTTTACGATAAGATTTTACAATATCATGCTGTAGGAAGCTTTCATTGCTAGGGAGCATATGAGCATTTAGTCTGTAGGAAAGTGTGTTGCTAAATGGAATTTTTTGTCAGTATTCCTGACTGAAAGAATAAGGTGGGTTTGAAGGCGAACTGACAAAGGAGAAAAGAAAAAGACGTGAAAATGGACATCTTTTAGAATACTGATGAATAACCTCAAGTATCCAGAGAGGTACTTGTTCTACTTTATTATGTGAAGATGTGTAATTAAAGGAATAGTGCCCTGTTTCTCCCTTGCTGAATTCAAGTGATAATCCAAACTTATCTCTTTAGAGATAATCCAAACTTGTAGAAAATGAAAAGAAAAATTGTGGAACATGCTCTTGAAGCTTTAGTGTTCAAGATGACTGATTGGATACAGAGCACTGTTAACAGCATTAGTTGCTTCTGATTCACATAGTACCTTTTCTCAGGCTGCTTCTGACTTTGACTTCACATTATTAAAGTTGAGCCTTGAACAACTCCATAGTTGGAGCTGCCAACATCTAAGTCACTTCAAATAACTTTTAATAGAAGAGATGAATTGCTCACTCACTCTGAGACAATTCCCATCTCAATGTTTTAATTGGACACTGGCATCTCTTGAGCTCACTACAATAGCAGTGTGTGTGGGGGGGAATCTGAGTTTAAGTGGACCTGTGCTGTTCAAACCGAGTTGTTCAGGGGTTAGCTGTATGCATTATTTATAACTTTTTCAGGCTAAACTCTTCTTCAAGGGAGAGGAAAGGCCTCCCCCTCTACCCCCCTTAAATAAGAGACTACATGGGTGTAGTTTCTGTTGGCCTTCCTCTGTCACAAAGTTCATGTTTTTCCAGTTTCAGTAAACAAAATTTTAATTTGTGTGTAGCAGTGAATACATTGAAAGTTAAAGGAAAGCCTCAAATGCTCCTTCAGTTTTTCTTTATAGATTGTAGACTGTAAATTGAAAGAAATTTTTTTTTTGGTAATATGCTTATTCTTACCATTTCTAGAAACTGAGAAATAAATGTGATAGCATTACTTTGAATTTTACAAAGTTGATTAGGATGATTTAAATAAATACCATGCTACTGAAGGAACATCATTGTTTTCTGACTCATTTAATGATACTTTGTCCACATAGTTGGAAGATATTATAGGTGGTTGAAAACTAACTTGTCGTATAACTTAAAAATCCATTGCCGTTGAGTCCATTCTGACTAAGAGTCATCCTTTGCTGTGTGTGAGGCTGTGAATCTTAACAGGAGGGGACGGCCCACCTTTCTCCCTTGGAGCCTCCGGTGGATTTGAACTACTAGAGACATGGAGCCTTTCGGGTGGCAGTGCAACATCCTACATAGACGCCACCATTAGGAAAATCTAACTGTGGTCATAGTTTAATGGTGTCTTTGCACGTTTATACCACAGTGCATGTGTGCTTTTGAGTTTTTTGAAGCTTGCAAAATTTGGGATTTTAAAGTTTCCTTCACCTCATTGCTGTAAAGTTGGAACTGACTCATAGCTGACCCTCCAATGATTTTTCAGAGACTATAAATTGCATGAGAAGAGATTGGCCAGCTTTCTCCTGTGGGGCACCTGGTAGATTTGAACAACCTGCAACTCAACTCTTTACCCATCAGGCTACTGGAACTTGATTTAGACATGTAAAATTTATTTAACCCCAGAATAAAATTAAAGAGTTGTTACACATATTTTACCATTAGTATATTATTCTGGGTAAAGTAATCAAGACTGTTGGAAATTGAGAGATATGTAAAAATAAAGTCTCACTGTTGATCATATAAGACTTTGTCTTTAGAGTAACATAGAAATATATTTTAGCTTTTAAGTCATTTTGTGAAAAGGTTGATGTACGATTAAGCACGCAGAGGTTCTTGACAGGCATGATTCTCCTTGGCCCTCTTGGTGCCTTATTGGCCAGATGCTTTGCTCAGAACTTGCTGTTTTCTTGGCAGTTGATCCAGTCCCCTGTGACAACCCCCCTTGGACTGATCATGTTGAAGACAACTTCAGAGGAGCTGGCGTGTCCCCGTGAAGACCTCAGCGTGGCTCGGAAGGAGGAGTTGCGGAAGCTGCTGCTAGAGCAGGTGCAGACAGTGCTTGGGCTACTGACAGGTGAGCAGGTCGGTGGGGCCCGTGCACATGCGCAGAGCTTCAAGAAATACAGGGTGCCCTGCGCTCACAAGTTTCGAGCAGTTGTTTTAGCTGTCCTCGAGACTGTGCAAAAAAAATGCAAAGACTTTCTTATTGTTGTTGTATGTAGCATCTACTTATTTTCATCTCCTCTTTTGTGAGACCCTTATGACCCTGAGGATAAGAATGAAAACAAAGCATACCACAAAATGGACAGAAAGATTTGCAGGAAGGATTTGGAGTCATGAGGGCCAGGACTGACAGTTGGGAGCTTGGGGTTGGGCTTATTACTTGCAAGAATAATGTGGTAAAAAATATTTTCACATCCAACTTTCCTAACCAGCGTTTCTTCTTGGATATCTAAGTAATTTTTAAAAAAATATACTATCAAATTTAATATTAAGCATGTAGTGAGCATTTAAAATTGGTTGAATGATCAAAAACGAGCTTGAAATTTCCTTTCCTTCATTTCCTCCCTAATCTCCAAGAGAAATCTAAAATTCAGAACATTAATTCAGAGCACATTTACTGACATCCCAGTCAGACGGATAGTTTCTAGAGTTAGGGACTGCTTTATACCTTTCCATCTGACTGTACTTAGAACCAGAAAGCAAACCTGCTGTCAGTGAGTTAATCCTGACTCAGTGACCCTCTGTTGGGTTTCTTAAAATGTGTGTCTTTGAGAGTAGACTGCCCACCTTTTCCCCACAGATTAACTGATGAATTTGATCCACTGACTTAGCAGCCTAACACATTATCCATTACACCACTGAGACTATACTTTGCATATTAAGCAAATTTTAAAATTGAAAAGTACTATATAAACCATAAAATTAATGTTTTGAAAGTACAACAGTTTGATGGTTTTTATAGTATATTCACAATGTTATACAACCATTCCTGTTTTCTGATTCCAGGAGGTTTTTATCACTGAGAAAGAAATATCATACCCATTAGTAGTCACTCCTGTTCCTTTTCCCTCTAGATCTGCTTCTGGTAAACATTCATTTACTTTCTATTCTGTGAATTTACCTATCCTGGACATTCATCTAAATGGAATCATAGTCTTTGACTTTTAAAATCTAGCTTCCTTTAGCTTTTTATAGACTTTGGAGAAAGGTTTGGTTCATGGCCTGTAAGATTACAGAGTGGACAGAGATGATTAAAGTAGCCACCAAATGGACTTAATCATAAAGCATCCTTGGCAAAGAACACTTTCAGTGGAAGTTGTGGTAAAGAAGTGCATTACTGCAAAGTTAAATGAAGCACTCGAAATGCTGTGAGTGGGTATAGTCCTTTCCAGAAGATAGCTGGAAGTAGAGTAGAGAGAGACAGCTATTAGTTAGGGGTGAACATGTGATTGAGAGGGAAGTTTAGTATCAATGTTTGATTAAAGGTACCAGATTTTTCTTTCTAAATCTCATTATAGTGGATTGTTTGTTTCTAAACTTAATTTTTCCTTTCTTGGTAGGTATCTTAGAAACCGTCTGGGACAAACACAGTGTTACTGCTGCTACTCCACCACCATCCCCAACCTCAGGAGAAAGTGGTATGATCTGCCCGCTACATACAGCATACTCTCAAAATCCACTCAATAATCTCAGCATAATTTATCTAGGCCAGATGTGGATAATGATGCTTAATCTATTTCTGCCCATATTTTCTGCGTGGCTAATTTTCTTCATTCCTCAGGAAGGCTTGTACATTCTGATACAGTATTTTGAACAAGGCATTTTGCTCTCCTCCCTTGCCCACAATGAAGATATAGCACCTTTAACTTCTATAAGTCACTCCGTTCATTTTTATTTATAAATTGCTATTTCTCCTGGCTTATTGCACCTAATTTCCTCCTTTTTCATACTTGATAGCTGTGTTGTTAGGGCTAGCGCGGGTCTGAGCTTTCTGGTCGGCTTTACAGCAGTGGCCTGAAGGAGAGGGCAGAGGAGTGTAGAGTGTTTTTTTTTCCCTCCAGCTGACTCAGAAATAGTCATGTTAGCCTGACTGGGGACCAGCTGCAGTAGTATTATATTGACATCAGTTAAAAAGAATTCAATTTAGCTTGGACATTTGGCTATTAAATAGTTTAATGGTTACTAATTATTATTCACACTTAAGTATTTTTGCTCTAGAAATCAATGTAGTTAATTTAAAAACAACAGCCTTCAAGGATGAATGGAAAGAGGAAATTGTGTCTGAGTAGGAACTTGTAGTTTCTAAATGTTTCTATTTACACTAAATGATCACAAATGTTTTTAAGTAGAGAACATCCTGTGAATTGGCCCATATTTCTTCCTCTACCGTAAAGGTTGCTGTGGCTCATGAGAAATATTTCCACATCTTGACCCTCTTCCCCAAGGAAAAGGACTGTTGAAATCAGATATCTCTAAAAGCTGATTCATGTAGCCTGTTGTTAGTGTGTAGAAATGGAAATTTTTCTAGTTACTGTGGAACTGAAAATATACCATGAAGACTTAAGGATTGCTAGTGATCTGCTAGCTTATTCCAAATTCCATTTCTTAGATTGAAAAATATTAGAGAGTCATCTGTCATTTCCATTAGATGAACTATTTAGCCAGGCTCTAGCTTATAGTAACAACTCTAGGAAATGGAACTTTATTTGAATTTAGTTCTTGATCAGTTATTTGAGGTGACCTCAGCAAATGTATAATTCATAATATCTGATTGAGAAAGGAAAATTTTGCACAAGGTAAAAAGATCTGATTTTATAAGTATTTAAAAAACAAAACAAGCACAACCAAAAAAGCTCTCCTTGCCATTGAGTTAGTACTGATTCAGAGCTGACCTTTAGTGTCTGTAAACTGCGTGGGAGGAGATTGCCCATCTTTCTCCCATGGAACAGCTGGTGAATTGAAATCTTTGGGGTTGGAAGCTTAGTTTCCTTCTCACTAGGTAGCCAAACCTCCCTTTTATGAGTATCGATGTTGTTGTGGACTAACTATTGAGTCGGAACTGACCCTTCACTGGCCCTCCAGTGGCTCTTCAGAGACAGTCAGCTACACTAGAGGAGAGCCTCCTCCCATCTTTGTCTGGTGGAGCAGTTGGTGGATCCGAACCGCATGCCTTTGGGATTGTAGTACAACTTCTTACCACTAGGCCACCAGAGCTCCTTTTGAATGAGTGTACACAGTGTTAAGAGTGTACACAGTGTGAGTGTACACAGAGTATGAGTGTCCACAGAGTATGAGTGTCCACAGAGTATGAGTGTCCACAGTGTAAGAGTGTACAGAGTATGAGTATACACAGTGTAAGAATGTACACAGTGTGAGAGTGTACACAGTGTGAGAGTGTACACAGTGTGAGAGTGTACACAGAGTATGAGTGTACACAGTGTATGAGTGTACACAGTGTATGAGTGTACACAGTGTATGAGTGTACACCGTGAGTATATACAGTGGAGTTTTCACTTTGGCTGGTCATTAAATTTGTCATTTAAGTAAAATTTGAAAAGGTTAGCTCATTTGAATTAGTTTTCAGATACTTGAATACTAGCGTAGAGTCCAGTTTAAGTTAGCAGTAGCATTTAGCATAACCTAATACTGAATTTTCTCAGATTCCATGTTTTTATTTGACTTCATTCTGGTATGTGTTCTCAGTTAAGTTGGGATATACCATGTACAAGCCAAAAACAGTGTGTTCATCTTATAATGTGTTCTCTAGGTTTTATTCATGAAGTGAAATAACACCTGTTCCACCCTTATGTCTTTTTTACCCAACATTTCACATTTAAGACAGTGATAAATCTACAGTATGACTCTTGTACATTAATGACGTTTATCTAGGTGTAATGAACACCTAGGTTTGAGCTGAGAGGAATGCTGAGTATGATGGGTAAGATGATGTGCCAATAAGGAGTGGGTGTAAAATGTGACCTGACTTGATAGTTATAGATAAACAAAACCTTAAATTCCACAACACTTAATTTTGCTTGTGCACAGCCAATTAGACTAAGAGGCTGTTGTGTAACCAGAGCAAGGGAACACTGCTTGGTTTTAAATTATGAAAGGTGTGTGTCAGGCTTGTATCCTTTCTCCACACCTATTCAATTTGTATGCCCAAAAGATAATTCAAGAAACTGAATAACCCTGAGGAAGAATGGGCATTAGGGTAAGAGGAAGATTTATCAGTAACCTTTGTTACACAGATAATACAATGCTGCTGGCTGAAAGTGAGGAGGACTTGAAATGCTTGCTGCTACAAAACAGAGACTGCAAGCCTCCAACATGGATTGCATCTCAACATCAAGAAAACACAGTCCTAACCACTGAATTGATAGGCAATGTCACAATAGATGGAGACAAGATGAAAACTATCAGTGACTTGATCTTAACTTGGATCCACAGTCAGTAAACTTGGTACCAGCAGTCAGGAGATCAGGAAATGTATTGTGCTGGGAAACTCTGTAGTCAGAGACCTTTCCAAATTATTAAGGAGCAGCGATGTCAGTTTGAGGACTAAGGTGTCCTGATTGGAAGATGGCACGTGATTTCAGACCATGGTCTTTTCAGTCACTTGTTATGCATCTGAGAGCTAGACAGCGAGGATAGCAGAAGAATTGATGCCATTAAATTGTGATATTGGAGACAAGTGTTGACTGCCAAAAGAGCCAAACAATGTTTTGGAGAACGTACAACCGCAGTATTCCTTGGAGGCAAAAATGATGAAACTGTGTCACATACTTTGGCCATATGGCTAGGAAAGGCTGTTGTGAGGCGTACAGCACCTAACAACAGCAACAACTTCATAAGAATAGTGTCCTTTTTTGTGTGTATTATCACACTGGTAGTGACCCATAGCTGAAAACCCTCTGGGTTTTCAGAGGTAAAAATAACATGAGAGCAGTTTGCCCATCTTTTTTCCAGTGGAACTGCTGGTGAATTCAAATTGTGTGTCTTTGGTTTGGAAGCACAATTTTTTATCACAAAGCTACCAGAGATCAGTCTGTTAAAAAGCTATTAGATTTTAGTATTTGAGGAAAATAAGAATAAATTGACGCTGCAGGTGGCCAAAGGAGTTAAGTAAACTTCTCAGTGGATTAGACTTCTCTTTTAAAAAGAAGGAAAAGAAAGGGATTGCCTGTTGTTTTGTATGAATTCTTTGCTCTTTATGACATTGCAAGTAAAGTCATCATATGTTATATGGACAGTAATCACCACTTACTTTGATACTTCTGCTCAGCTACTCTGCACAACCGTCAGACTTCCAGAAGTTATTCAGCTTCCTTGATCATAAGCTCTGTTTTGTAGAAGAAATTAATTTTGAGACACCTTCAAGCTCAGTGAATAAAGCAAGCTATTCCTGACCATGGGACACCAGTATTTCCTGCTAGACTCCGTGCTTTGCCTGGATTCGTAACCCTGACCCTGTCAGATTGAACACTTTTTGGCTTTTGACCTCTTAGAATCCTCTTCTTTATGGTCATTATCAAAGCAAAAAGCCAGGAGATTTAGTTTATTTCTCAGAATAGTTCCCCAAATTCCTCCCCTATCTCATAAGCCCTCTGCAGTAGTGATTACTCATCACTAGTCCATAGTTCTGCAAAGATAGTTTTATCATTTGTTTACAAACCAAACTGAGGCTTCTGGAGAGTAACTTACCAAAGGTCACTTTGCCAGTAAGTGGGGGGAGGGACTGGACCCTATCATTCTAGGTGTGCTGTGTGATGTCCCTTTTCCTTTCTTGATCTGCTTACCTCCTTCTTTCCTGGGAAGGGACCTGGCTTTGTCACTGAACTGTATAAAACTAGGGACTATATTTTTCTAGTCTACATAAGGTTTCAAATACAGATCTGACATACACTGATGATGAGATTTTTAGAGTGAAAATGTATTGGCATATGAGAATTGAGTCCAGTTTTCAGCTTTGTCTAAAACTCTTTCCAGATTGTATATCTTTCTATACTTTCTGCTCTTTTCACCTACTCCCATATAAGCTACTTGTGGACAGGTGGGACTTGGGGAAAGTCATTCACAACTGCTGTGATTGTATTCCCTTTTCCAAAGACTCCTTGAAGGGTTTCTGCTCATTCTGCAGGAGTCTACTGAAATGTCTGTGGCTCTCCATTGGGATGGTTTTGCTGCTCAGCGGACATTTGACCGTGTCTGGAGGCATTTTTTGAATGACACAGTCTAGGGGAATGCTCTTGGCATCTAGTGGGTGGAGGCTAGTGATGCTATTCATCACCCCACAATTCATAAGACAGCCCCCACAATTCACAGGCAAGCTCCACAACAAAGAATGGTTTGGTCCACAATGTCTGCAGTGCCAGAGTTAAGAAACCTTGAGTTATTGGAAACAGAACGAAATAGAAAACTAGAAATTTCAAGTTTTTTTTTTTTTTTAAAAAAAAGCACCAAAAAGATCTTTGTATGAAAACGTACAGCAAGTGATTATACTGTGTCTGGAATGTGTCTTAGTAAGTCCCCACACCTCTAGAAATGGGTACATATTGGTGCCACAGCTTGTCCCAGTACAGGAAAGAAAAAGTCAGTTACCCTGTTAGGCAGTCTGCTCTCTTCACTATGGTTTGAAGCAGAGACTGTTTTGTAGTGATTCCTTCTACTTAGATTAAAAGGCATTTAAAAAACCTCCAAACTGTCCCATAATCCTACGAATACTTTAAAACATTTAAATTTGAGTAAGAAATGATACTAAATTTTTAAGGGAAAAAAATCTGATATCTGTTAAAGAATTTTTTAAAATTTTATATTGGCTTGCCTACAAAGTTCATATACATTGTGTTTCACACTATCCTTCATTCACATTTTGTTTCATATAATCATTCATTATATTTTATAAAATCAATCACCACTGAAACATGCCATTACCCTTCTTTCCCTATACCTGCCACATCTTCCCCATTTCCTTTTCCCCTCTCCCTCCTCCCACCAAATTGTGTGACCATATGATTTTCCCCCTGCCCACCATAACTCCTCTGTTCGCACCCCTTACTCCCTTGGATCCCCCACCTTGGATACAGAAGTCAGACATTTCCCTTATACCTCCTATTGTCTACCAGTTCAACCCCAGATGTCCTGTGGCTCTTCTCTGCTGCTGTCATTGCAAATTCATTGCAATGGTCACACAGAAAAAACTCAAGATTTTGGAATTTATTAGGGAAGGTTATAATTCAGATTAGAAACACTCAAGATACAATTCCTCAGTCAGGACAGCTTCTTCTCAGGTACGTTAGTAGGCAGGCCTTAAGTTTAGGCTGAAGGTGCTTGACTCAAGTGCTGTCAAGCTGGCTGACATCACCCAGCTGTCCTATCTCTAGTTCTCTCTCACTTCTATTGCCTATGCCACACCTGCTGTTATCTGGAATGCCATCTGGGAAGCCATGTCTTGGTGTCACTCTGTTTCTAAGTCTCATTGTACCTTGTGCAGATATCTCTGGTCCAGAGGGCACACTGCTCCCTATTTCTTTCTAGATGGTACTGAAGTCACATATTCTGAGCCTGCTTACTTTGAACCTGGAGGGACAGCAGGAATGAGTGATCCCCATGTTAACATTGTACATAATTTACTTGCATATTGCTGCTATTAACATTATTTATATTGTTAGCTGGCTGTCCAGTCACCTTTGCGGCCACAGACACCTCACGTTTGCATAGCCTTAACCTGCTAAGAGGGAACTGTAGGGTGGATAGAGAGTTGTGCTGCCAGCTCACAGACAGACAGATATGGGTTCAGATTTGCCTCTTATTTTAAAATACCACTTTAGGAGGCATATTGCAGTAAATACAGTGGTAATAGCGGCTCTAAGGAGAAAGATGAGTAGTCTCCTCCCATGCAGTTTATAGGTTCTGAAAGTCCATTGGAGCTTCAGCTGTGAATGAGTTCCGGTGGCATTGGGTTTAAATTTTGACCTTGCCATACAGTAAAAGTCAAAGCCAATGACTAGAAAAGTCATTATTAATAACCTTCTGTATCATATTAAGGGAGCTCTGATGGCCTAGTGATAAGTAACTGCACTGCTAGCCCAAAGGCAGGCAGTTTGAATCCACTAGCTACTTTGAGGGAGAAAGATGGACAGTCTCCTTTCCTGCAATTTATAGCCTCTTTTAAATCAGGAATGCAAATTAGTAAACTTAATTGTAGTCCCATTTCATTGCATTTGAACATCACTGATTTCTGCAAGTCTTTCCTCTTGTTATTGATTCTCCATTCCCATTTCCCCCTTATTCTGTGTCTAGAATAGCCATTTTTTAATTAATTTTAATGAAAGTTTACACAGACTTTGGATTTCCATTAATTGATTGTTTCACTTTTCTCCCTGCTCAACCTCCCCCTCGGTTCCCTCTTCTCTTTGAAAAGTAAAAGAAAAACTTTCATTGTTAATACAATCCCTCCTCCCCAAGTCCACTCTACTATGCAGCCTTCATTCTGAACTCCTGTCATGACAAAAATACCTAATCATATATTCCCTTTAAACAGTTCTCTCCCTCATCTGTTTCAAAGCAGTATACATTATTTATCCCGTTTTTCAGTCTCCCCCAAACCCCGATTTCAGTCCCGTTTTACAACAGTATTTGTCCTTTTGTGACTGAGATATTTCACTCAGCATAATGTCTTCCAGGGTCACCCATTTTGTATAATATTTCATGAGTTCCTGGTTTTTCAGTGCAGCATAATATTCCATTGTGTGAATAGTCTGGATATACCAGAACTTCTCTAGCCATTTGTTTGCTGTTTCCAACTTTTTTAAAATTGAACAAAGCTTCAGTAAACATGGATGTACATATATCTGCTTGAGTGGCAGTTATGGTTTCTTAGCCTGCATTCCTAGTAGTGGAATTGCTGGGTCAAATGCTATTTCTATTTGCAACTTTTTGAGAAAGTGCCATACAGCCTTCCATAGTGGTTGCACCATTTTACACTCCCACCAACAGTGAATAGCCATTTTAATAGTTAAAATGGGTGTTTTGGAGTTGGTTTTTTTTTTTGGTAACATGTAAAAACTTCTGTTTTGTGTAAAGGTGTTTCCATGCGTATAGATGTTGTCTTACGGCCATAATTGTGCTTGTTCATTTTAATTTATAGTAGGATGTTACTAAGGTCTTTCCCAGCTGTTGCCTGTGTTTTCAGTCCATCGTGTCTGCTGACTGTGTGATGTATTGTGTATCAGCAGCATTTTCCCACAGTAACTGTCCTGCAGAATAGGGAACCATTTAAATCCCTGAGCTGGGATAATCAGGAGCAGCAGCACAGACATCCCTCCACTTTGCAGCTTTCTCACCGTTGACACCAGCTGTCCCCTTGATGGCACTCCTCTGCAGGGTTTAAGAATTTATTGCAGTGCCACCTGGAGCTCACCGATCATCCTCACAATTAGGAGGTTTGCTAGGGAAATAAAAGGAACAAGTCAGGATCAGGAAAACACATAAGCAAGGCTACAAGACTCTGCTGGAGTGCAGAACACATCCCTCCTTTCTTCAGTGCAGGACAGCTCTCCTAGCTCCTCTGAGCTGTGTAAACAGACCCCTCTCCTTTGGTCTCCTCACCATTGGACACACTAACTGGTCCAGCTCGTAGCTAGTGTAGCAGCTTGATTAGTTCTGAGCTACTTTCCTAGCAGCAGCATTCCCCTGTCACTGCCTGCTGTGCTGTAGAACCCTTTCCTGCCGCTGCCTGCTGTGCTGAGAACCCTTTTCTGACACTGCCAAGTTGTACCGTAGAACCCTTTCCTGACACGGCCTGCTGTGCTGTAAAACCCTTCCATGTCACTGCCTGTTGTGCTGTAGAACCCTTTTCCTGTCGCTGTCTGCTTGTACTGTAGAACCATTTCCTGTCACTTCTAGTTCTGGCCTATGACCCTTTCCAGGCCTCTCACTGTCTTTCCTGTGCCTTTGATCTGGGCTGTAGTTCTTAGGCCATTCCTTGCCTCTTTCTCTCTCTGCTTCCTCCTTTTGCCTCTCAGAAAAAAACTTTGTGGTGTTGGCTACTTATCGTGAACAAAACTACTTTTCAGATTCAAGGCCTGGCCTTTCCAGCAGGACCATGAGCTGGCCAATTCTTTGTGTAGCCTTTAGGTTATTTAATTTATGTAGTAAATCAGTCCTTGCCAGGTACCTAAAGTAGATTGCAGCCCACTGTCAAACCATTGAGTTGTTCACAGTTTACTCTAGAAATATAATCAGCCTGGAGTGACAAACACTGTAGGGTAGAGACCGCCTGGGCATACTCTTATCCCGTCTAGTTCTCCAAATAACTGGTGTAAAAGAATTCCTCAGGATGTAGGACTGAGATCTCCTAAGCTGTTTTTCCAAAGAACTGAGGGGAAAGGCCTCAAGAAGGAACCTATTTTGCTTGCAGCTCTCCACCAGCGCAATTTCATCCTTTCCTTGGCACCTTAGGGCCCTGTATGAAGGTTGCTTTGAGAGTCCTATCCAGAGGGGTCCCTGTCAGATGGTTGGCTGTTTACCAGCACGCCAAAGTGCCACACTCTGTCAGAGTCACTGTGCTTCTTTCCAGAGCTGTGTGGCTTCCCATGCTCTCCCTCCCCCTCAGTCTGCATTTGGAATTATCCAGCTGCTTTATTTTCTGAAGTCTTCATTTGCCCTAGGATTTTGAGGTCTCTAAATATGCTGAATATCCTCTTGAGTGTCTTCTGATAAGTATCTCTTTAGTCTACTAAATCTTCAGATTGAGGAGATACTTGATAGGTAGGATTTGGTAAATTTTTTTAGTGTCTTCTCATATTAAGGGAAAGTTTGGCTGAATAACTTTTCCTTAATGCCTTCATTGAATAGAAATGTCTAATTCTGATATTAAGTTACACATTTCTGTTAAAGTTTGTATCTTGATAGTTTTAAGAAGTCTTTCACATTTCTGGTGCCTTTTGTTTTCGTCTATTTTAAATGTTTTGCCTTTTGATTAGGTCTTTCATGCATTAGACTCCATCGTGATAGATGGTGCTAGGGATGTGGTTATTTATTTAAATATAGTCAAGTGTGATTTTGCAGTGATCTTAGAAAGCAGTGGGAAGAGGAAAAGCTTAGGTAGAGGTGGGGTTTCACAACAAAGGAGAGGTTCCATCCTTATCTCCCCGCTCTGTCTCCTGCAACAGGCCCATAGCTGCCCCAGCACCCAGACTCAAGAGCCGCAGTTTGTTGTAGCAGCGGTTTAAATAGTGGTGCACACAGCAGCACTTGGACCATGTCGCCTTTCAGGGGCTATGCCGTGCCCCTCAAAGCGAATATGGAGGTTCTACATGCCTAGTGGGAACTCTGGTGGCTTAATGGCAAAGAGTTGCACTACTCTATGGGAGAAAAGACCTGTTGATCGGATGCCCTAAATAAAGGTTGTAGATTAAAATCCCCACGAGACAGTTCGACTCTTTCCCATGGGTCCCACTGAGTCTAGATTGGCTTGCTGGTATCCACCAAGTCTTACTGGGTACACTGATTGTAAGTTTTGGTGTAATAGCTAAATGTTTCTGGGTTTTAAAGGAGAAGGCTACTCAGAGTGGTTCGGGGGAGTCTGACAGTGGATGTCTTAGAAGGCTCTTTCATTTTCAGGTGACTTGCTGAGTAACCTGCTGCAGAGTCCTAGTTCAGCCAAACTCTTGAATCAGCCAATCCCCATCCTTGACGTGGAGAGTGAGTATATCTGTTCTCTGGCACTGGAGTGCCTGGCTCATCTCTTCAGTTGGATTCCTCTGTCTGCCAGCATCACCCCATCCCTTCTTACCACCATCTTCCACTTTGCACGCTTTGGCTGTGACATCCGGGCCAGAAAGATGGCATCAGTGAACGGCAGCAGCCAGAACTGTGTCTTGGGTCAGGAGCGTGGCCGGCTTGGGGTTCTCGCCATGTCCTGCATCAACGAACTCATGTCCAAGAACTGTGTGCCTATGGAATTTGAGGAGTATTTACTGCGTATGTTCCAGCAGACTTTCTACCTCCTGCAGAAAATCACAAAGGATAACAATGCTCACACAGTGAAGAGCAGATTAGAAGAACTTGATGAGAGGTAATGAAAACAGGTGTGGAGGTCGCCGTGTCCTGAGAAAGGGCTGTGACTGGTTATCACATTGTGCTGCAGAGTGTCTGTAATCCTATTTGATTTCAGAATGTGGGGCCGCTGGTGAGGATCGGAAAGGTAGGTATGTACCAGTAAGTGTAAGATTAGCTGGAAGGGCTAGGGTGGTTAAGGGAAGTGAGTTGAGTGTGAAAGTGATTTACAGTTGTGTAGGTTTGTTGTCTTCCCCCCACCATCCGTTTTCTGCCCTCCCTCCCACCCCGTCTCCACTTCCTTACTATATGCCTGCAGGTCTGAGGGGTGCAGGAACTGAGACTGCCGCTCTTGCATAGCCAGGAACAGAAGAGGTCCATGGAGGTACAGCAGTTACAATCTGCCCCTTCTCACTTGGTGTGTCACTTGTCATTTTTTTACTATTTGACTTTTCCCAAGTGAATAACTTTCAGGGTACCGCAGTGCTGTTGCTATTGTGAGTTTTAGACACATGGCAAGTTTTCATCAAAAGGAAGGAGAGGTGGGAAGGTGAGCACATGTTACCATGGTGCACACCTCTGTACCTTTGTTGTCCTCTAGAATGGAACTAGAATCTCTTACTCTTTTTTTCTTACTCTTACAGAGTCCCATTTATGTTCCTTGTAGATGATGTCGTATGTGTATATATCTTGCAACTTTAATGACCATGATAATACTACTGTATAAACATAGGATAAGGGAAAGTTGGGAATTTATATTAAAAACATGCATGCTTTAAAACTTTGAAGTGAATAGACAGTAAATGAATAGATATTTACAGGTTTTTGTTACAATAAATTTATTAATATTTTAATTTTCCTTGGATTTTTGTGGTTGTTGGTAAATGGTACATTTCAACTATTCTTGTCTTTAGGTTTAAGTAGCAGAATATAAGTAATAATAGGAACTATCATGAAGTCCTAACTAGGTGCCTAATATTTACACTTTAGTGCTCTTAAAATTGAGCAATTTTATTAGGTTTTTCTAAAATTTAGAAATTAAGCATGTAAGATTATTTTGGTTTAATTCATTACAAATAAATTTTGTATGAAATTTTGACAGTCACCAAAGAACCTAATAATGTACAGCTTTTCATTTCTTAATAGTAGCTTTCTGTGTGAATTTAAGAACATTTGTATGTGATCTTTACATACTTTCTGGCTTTGATTAAGAAGAATGGTTTTTACAAAATAAAAAAAAAAATTCCGACTCCTTATACTAGTGATCAAATAGCCATTGTTAACTTTTATTTGTAGTGTACTGAGTCACAGACATTTTGGTTAGATTTACATTTGGGAGCTTCAGAAATGTCATCATGGGTTGTCTGTGTGTTGATTTCACTCCATGTAACTTTTGTGCTCTTGGTTTTATATTTTAATCCTATGCTTCCTATTGCCCTGTGAAAGCTGAGAGGTGCCTGGGAGCAGAAAGGTGACAAACAATGCTGTGTGCTTGCTTCCTGGCTCTTGGGTCCCTCACCACTAATTCTAAACAGCTAAGTCCATTCTGAGTTGTTTAGGAGCTGCTTAACCAGATCCTTGGCTTCTTTTCTCCTTTACTGCCGTTTTTCTAACTTCTACTGTTCATTAGCACCTGTACCAGAAGGTGGGCAAGGGTAAGAAAATGAGGTGAAATAAAATCAGTAGTTTGAGCTCCTGAAATGGCTGGGTTTTATTTTTTAATTTGTTGAAGAGTAAAATAAAATTGAATGTTGCAGGCTGTTTTACCCATGGCTTGACTTTGTTCTTTTGTGGGTGGCCCGGGTATCAAGTATTTCCTTCCCAAGTACAGTGAATTGGTTCACAAAGTCAAATTTGTTTAAAAATGTGATACAGTAAGCTAACTGGAGGAATTCCTATCCTTGAGTACTAGTGTCTCTATGCTTTTTCCTATCCCTAAGACCAATTAATGCTAATGCTTTTATTAATATTTTTAAAATTTTTGGCCTCATATACTACGGAGACAGCCATTCTTTTTATAACGCAAATTCTTTTTTTTTTAAAGCTGCAGATAAGCTCATATCTGTGTGTGTGAGCCAGCTGTGTAGTGGCCAGACAGGCGACTCAGCCACACACTTGGTGATAGGTCCTGAGAACAAGAGGGGAAGCTTTATTTCTGGGCCATTTTTATTTTTCTGAGGAGTAGTTGTCTTTTCCCCCTTTATGATTTCACATGTTTCTGCTTGAAAAATAGCCTTTTGCTTTTGGAGTCTCAGAGTTACTGTTAGTCATGATTTCATTTTGGCCAAGGCCTACTAAGTCTTTACCTTTTTTGTTTGTTTGTTTCTGAAATGTGATTTGTAAAAGTATGACCATCTCATTTTCTCATCACCTTTTGGTATTTAGGGGCTTACAATGACAGTTTCTGAAATGTGAGAGTGATGACGTGCTGTGTACTTAAATAACAAAAATCTCTTATCCTTGCAGCTTTGACCCACACTCACTCTTCTATGAAGTGATTTTGTGAATACAAATGCATTGGGAATTCACTGATGTGAAAAGAAAGTTTGGGAGTGGAGGATGATAATTCCATTCTGCCATGAGTTGGCTGAGTGACCTTGAGCTGGTCATTTTATCCCTCTGAGACGCAAATGGGAAGCATCAGAGTAAACAGTCTCTGAGGCCTGTTCATCACCAATAGTTTTCCCCCCATACTTGAAATTCTCATTAGAGCTGACTGGAATGCTGTTGTGATAATTAGCACCAGGGACTAGAGGAAGGGGGGATAAAAGGAACATTAGGTGGCAAGCCTGAATATTTCTTCCCTGGATTCCATGCCTCTTTTTACCTTTGTACAGCCTGTTTTGTTTATCTCCTTAGCACATTTGTTTTAATATTTTGGCCTCCAAGCAAAGAAAACCAGGCTTCCTGGATGGAAGTGGCACGCACGATCTGCCCATCACCTACCCTTTCAGCACCTCTTTTAATTGGGTCATAGCACTAACGAGTTACAGAACATGAGAGCACTAGTTTGTAAGACGCTTTAGTAGATGGTGTCTACTAAAAGTTGCTTTTCTGCTATGTTTCAGGTGGTAATGGAATGAAGGGTTGCCTGTCCTGTAGGTAATTGTTGTAGGCCTTTATATTTTTATCTGAAAATATATTATAAATCTCTATAGTTCTGTACTGAAAGAAATTTGAATTGAATTAAAAGTTCTGATCAAGTGGGTAGGCCTCTTATTGCTGCTTTTTGTCTTGTCTTATTTAGCTACATCGAGAAGTTTACTGACTTTCTTCGGCTCTTTGTGAGTGTTCACTTGAGAAGAATTGAATCCTACTCCCAGTTCCCTGTGGTGGAGTTTTTGACACTTTTATTCAAGTACACGTTTCACCAGGTAAAGAACAAGAAACTTTTCCCCTAAAAAAAAACCAAACAAACCCCAACCAAACAAAAAAATCTGCCTAGTTATTTTTAGGAGAAAGAATGTCTTTTATTTCTCTAATACTTATGTATTGATTTCTGTGTGAAAATAAACATATTTCATCTTCCCAACAAATCTGTGAGGTGATGCTATTAGTATCCTCGCCTCCATTTTACGGATCAAGAAATTGAGGTACAAAGATTAACTTGCTCAGCCATGTAATTAATTAGTAAGTGGAAGAGCCAGAATTTGAAGCCATAGTCTGTGTGTTTAACCACCATTAAGTTTGAGAAACAAAATACAGAAAAAAGTGGAATGAAGATGTTAAGTTCTATTCTGTAACTATCACTAAATATTTCCACAAGGTTATATGTTGTGACTCTTTGAGGAGTTAATTTTGGTGGTATATTTTCTGGTAGCCCCTGACCCCTATTGTAATAACTTTTTGAACTTGTTACTTGTCAGGACCTGGGCACATGGGTACTATGACAGGCAGAGTCCTTACCTTCATGACGCGTGTCTCTGACCCAGCCTCTTGTGTATCGCTGTGTTGTTGTTCAGGGCCTTTCTATTGGCTCTCAGGATGACCCCTGCATGCAGAGACCTGCTCTGGAGGGTTTTCAGAAGCTGTTTTCCAGGCCTGTCTCCTCTGGGCCTCAGAATGGGTTCACACTGCAACCTTCCAGCTGGTAGTTGAGTGCTTAGCCGTTTGTGCTCAAAAAGGGCTCCTTTTTGATGTGTGTATTTTTAAAACTGCGTTCGAGGTACGATATATATACCATGAAGCTTATTCATTGAAAATGTAATTGTTATGTTTACTAAATCTATATAAAATTGTGCAACTATCAATATTGTCCAGTTTTTAAAGATTTCTGTCACCTAAAAAAAGTTTCCAAATACACATTTATATGTATGTTTTTTAAAAAATACATTTTTTATACTGAAATTGAAAACTGAGAGGAGATTGCCCACCTTCTTCCTGCGGCCCATTGGTGGATTCAGAACCATCAGAGAGGCACCACCTTTTGATTGGCAGGACAACTCCCTATAGACTAGGCCACTGGGCAGGTAAAACACACACACACACACACACACACACACACACACACACATGCGTCTGACACCGCTTGAGGAATTGTCCCAGAGTAGGCACGTGTGTTACTAGTACCAAAGTTAAGCACCCCTGAAAGTGCCTCACATCTCCTCTCAATCACATTCTCCTTCCTTATTCCACAAGTAGCCCCAGACCTAACTTTTAATACCGTGTGCTAGGTTTTGCATGCTTTAGAATTTCTGTAAATGGAAGTGTATGGTCTTGTCTAGATTTTTTTTTTGTCTAGATTTTTAATTGAGTATTACGCTTGTGAGATTTGTCCGTTTTGTTCATCTTCACTGCTTGAAACTAAAGCCTTATCTGAAAATACCAGATTTTGTTTACCCATTTCACTGCTAGTTTGGGTGTCTCTTATTTTTGACACTTACAGATCATGATGTAGCAAACATTTTAATACTTGCTTTTTGCATACTTAGTTTTTTTTGTTGGTGCATATTAGAAAAAAAACTGTTGGGTCAGTAGGTGTAACTGATTGTAATAATAGACCTACCTTTTTAGTCACTGCTGTTACAGTTAATGAAGCTAGACAAGGTGAGGGATGGGTGCATATTTAAGCCAGGAGGTAAGGAAGAGAGATAGGATGTGCAGGTTAGCCCTCCTCAAAGAGGTATTGGGCAAATAGATAACGATAAAGTGGTGCCCAGTGGTAAGGGAGACCAGTCCCGAGAGAGGCAGTGGGAGAAGGGGGACCACAGGTTAGAGAGAGACTAAGGAAAAAAAGGCTCGACATTAAAAGAAGTGGTAAGAAAAATGTAGCAGAAAGAAAAGATGGATAAGAAAACCAACCTTGAGAACAGGAAGAAGATTTCTTTGGCAGAAACAGAATGAAAATATCTTTTGAAATAGTGCTGCAGGATGGTTCTGATCTCTTGTTCTTAAGGTCAAGTCATAGTCTGCTTGATGGCACCTAACAACAGTAATAATAGAGACGTGGTCATGAAGCAAGGAACAAGCTGCTTTGTTCTTTGTCCACCTCGGGGTCCTATCAGCTGGGCTCCCGCTGCTGCCCTGGCCTCCTATGTGAGGTTTGCAGATACGTGAGTAGATATCCTAGAGGGACAACCTGGATCCAAGTCTGTCGTAGAGAAGAGGAGCACCTGGAATGTGCTGTCTGGGTTAAGCTTAGGCAGCATTCACGACTTGCTGGGGAAGCACAGCAGAAAACAGATGGCAAGGTGCATTCTAGGGTCATGGACCAACCAGAGATGGGGGAGTTCTCTGGGAGAAGAATGAAGAATAGGAATTTTAAATCATAAACAGTGTGATCTTACTTTATCCTACTTTTATTTCCTATGAAGTGAGGAAGTGTGAATTCCTCCTTTCTTGCCTAAAAACAACATTTTTGCCTTTTATTTCTACAATTCATTGACATTTTAGTACTTACAGTTTGAATGAAGAGTAGTAAGACAAAGGATGCGGCTAATTCCTTCTGTAAGCAGTTCTTCTTTTCCTTCACCGTTTCCTCAGTCTGACTCCTGCAGGCAGCCCTCCAGCCGCTGTGCTCCGCAGGCCTCTGTCTTCACTGTTACTGTCCTTGCTAAGCCCTCTGAGGTTCCTGAAGAAACATAATTTTTCTATCTTTCTGTAGTCCCTGTTCCTCTTGGTCTTGCATTTTTGCAACTTGTCACTTCTTAGAACAATGTGCCAGTGAGCAAGGGAAAGGCCCCTTTCATTCACATTTTAGTTTTTCTTTCTTTATTGTTTGTCCACCTTAGACTAGTACATTTCCTTGGTTTCTTTAACTGTAAAATAGGAAAAAGAGAAAAAATGGATTACCCTGCAGGGCTATTTCATTTCATGCAAATGAAAACTGCACGTACTAAAACACTCGGAAGATGAAACTGTCTAGATTTTCTGTAATTATAATCTGCCCTGGAAGCTGAAAAGTAAGCTGGAGTATAGGTACTTGTTTTATAAAGAATCTGTAAGGGTTTGAAAAAATTCTTGCTCAGGAGCTCTGGTGGCCTAGTGGCAAGAAGCTGATCTGCAATCCCCAAGGCACACGGTTTGAATCCACCAGATGCTCTGCTGGGGAAGGAGGGACAGTATCCTTCTGTACCAGTCAGATCTGATTTGACAGTACACACACACAAAAACAAAATATTAAAAAAAAAATTTTAAAAAAAAAGTTCTTACTCTAGAAGTAGAATTAGCCTATAATCTTCATGAGTTTAACAGTCTGTCACAGACGATCAGGGGCAAGTTGTTGAGCTCACACAGAGGATCAGGGGCAAGTTGTTGAGCTCACAAGGCCTCATAGAGGGATCTTCCAATAGGAAAGTGAATACAGTGTTTCAGGTCTTATAAAAGGCAGATGTATCTGCCTACCTTTATTTCCCTCCAGCTTTGAGCAACTTAGTAAATCTTTAATTCAAAGGATAATGTATAGACCTGTAAGATATTTTGATGTATCCATACAGCTGTATTTATGTGCTAACATTTCTCAAAAGCACTTGCACACTCATTCTGATCAGTTACAATATTTTGAGGGAGTTGATGGTGTTTCATACCAGAGAAAGCAGTTGGATGACTTAGGCAAGCTCAGGTCAGGACTAACTAGCATAAATATCCATCAACTAGCCATGTTGTTTCCATGCTACTTGTTAATTTTTTATTTTTTTTAACCTCATTACTCTCCTGGCCTATTTCATGCCATTAAGAGAATATTATTCTGAATTTTGTAATGATGTCAAGATTAGAAGTGCCCTTTTTTTAGGGTGATCCTATCTTTAAGTCGTTCTGTTTGAGCTGTAGAAAAGTTTCCATGCTATTCTTTTGAATAGGAAGCTTAGTGAGCTCTTGGGACAGTAGTAAAGAGTTGTGCTGCTATATCAAAGGCACACGGTTTGAATCCACCACCTGCTCTACAAGAGAAAGATGGCAATCTCACGTGCAATTTACAGCCTCCAAAAACCCACTGGAAGGTCGGCAGTGAGTTCCGATTTGATAGTACACAGCAACAGATTAAAGCTTGGAGGTAGAACTCCTGCTTCGTGCTATCACCTGATGTCAGTTATTCCTTGAGCAAATTCCTCATGTGCCCCAATACACTATTTCCTTCTGAAGCAGAAATAGAAAGAAACAGATCTAAAAAGATAATGGTATTATTTCCATGCTTGATCCAAATAAGTGATTCAATGAGGCAGTAAATAGCAAAACCAAGGAGTTCTTGTGGGTGGTGAGAATTTCAGTATGTCTGTAAGAGATTGAAGGTATAAGTTAAAAGTGAATGTACATAGGGTGGACTGGATATTGGATAGTAGAGGTTGTTGATTTTGAATGCGACAGATGGCTCGAGCCCTGGAGAATGTTGAGTCCAAGGTGTGGTTCTGGGGCTCGAACCCTGCAGAGACTTCCTTTTCTCACTGTATAACAAACTTATTTTCAATCTGTCGTATAGGAAGCTTGCTTATGTCACTTTCCTTATCCAAATGTGTGAAACTCATCTCTGAAGTCACTTGGTTTTTGTTTTAGATGGGCAAATAGAAATGGTTTATAGTGGAAAGAACATTGGTGGAGATAACAGGGCCTGCTCCTACCCCTGAGATCTACCTACAGATCACCTCCCTGCACCTCAGTTTCTTTTTTAGTTCATCTCTGTGCATTGGATGAGCCACAAGAGCTGTCTTTACCAGTCTCAGATAGGTTTTCTCGGATTGATTTTTGTTGATAACTCAGTTCATAATATCTCCCTAATGAAGTGTTTCCTGGTGCTCCTGTCTTGTCGGGTTCAATGGAGTTCAGTGGGGAGGACAAAAAGCCACCACTTGTAGATATCAGAAAACAAGGGAAACATAGGCTATGGTTTTACCATTCTGGAAGTAAATACTGGAGTGTGTATGTGAGAGAAAGTGTGTGTGTTTCTAGGAAATAGTTGCATTGAATCATTTCATTGTCTTTATTTCTTCTGTGCTGCAGCCTACTCACGAAGGTTACTTTTCTTGTTTGGATATCTGGACACTTTTTTTGGACTATCTGACAAGCAAAATTAAAAGTCGTCTGGGAGACAAGGAAGCAGTTCTCAACAGGTAAATCTTAGAAGCGTTATAAATTAGCAATACTTTTTCCTTGGTTTTCTATGTGTCATAAATGGACAAATGTACACCAGGCCTTCTAAAGTGAAATCAAGCCATACAAGCTGTCTAGGCAGGGGTGACATTAAATGTCTTCTTCTTTCTTCCCCACTGCCTGCTCCCCCTACCCCCAATATCTTAAGACACATTTTCCCCCTCGATTTAAAAAAAAAAGTAATATGTATTATTAAGTTTTTAGATTGGTAATACTTTCTGTGGTGTTTTTGTTTGTTTTCTAAATGGCCCTCATTTTCAGAGGGGGTACAGACTGAAGTATTTTTTAATTGAGTCACATGACATCTAGAATTTGCTTTAAAGTAATCCACTGTGGGCACGGGGAGGGGGGTGGACACGGGGGACGCACAGAAGACATGAGGCTGACCGTAAAATAGGCTCATAAGATACTTGAGGTTTGCTATATTATTTTGGATGTTTTTGGAAATTTCCTAAGTTAATTACCTCTGCTTTTTTATGAAAAATTAATTTTTTTAAAAAAATAGACCATTATTGTAGAAACAGAAAGATAACTAGTAAAATGTGTATGAGGATTCAAGGAGAGGAGGGAAGGATCAGAGGGGTGAGGATGGACGGGGAGAAATCATAGGGTCACACAGTTTGTTGGGTGGAGGACTGAGTGGGTAAAGGAACTGGGACAGATCCGGTGTGAAAAACAATGTATGCAAACTTTGTAAGTAAACTAATACAGAAAAAGGTATAGAAAAGAAACAAAAAATTATTCATCACCCCACAACTAAGACTTGGGTGTTTTTTTTGCACATTTTGCTGTACTTTTTAAAACAGTCCATGATCGCCAAAGGCCACACCTCTGATGGCTCCATCAGCAGTGGGTCCTCAGGAGAACAATGGGAAGTCTCCTCCTAGCCTAGGAAAACCCAAAGGAGGGTCAGCTGTGAGCTGGTTCTGACCCAGTGGCAGTGAGAGGATCAGCTTGTAAAACAGAAAACTCTCCCCAGCCTCTGCGTGTATTTGCTTGTTAACGTCTGCTTTTGTTACTTGCAGATGCAGATTGCTTTTGGGACAGTGTAGCACTTGGGTCACTTGGGTTTTGTCTTTCATGATAGTCCTTTATTTGACCGAAGCCTCTTCTCTAGATGCAGAGCAGGGGAAGTTGAGAATTCAGCATGCTATTAAAGTAAGAATAAGATTCATCAGGAGGGAGATTAAAGCAGCTGCTCTTCCTAGAAATAGACCCATCGTGAGGTGTTCTTTTGGGGGGTAACTTGGGCCTTGGAAAAGGAGCTCCGGCAGCAGAGGAGGAGGAGGAGTCTGGAGGTAGTTGCTCTGCTGACCCAGAGGCAGCAAGTCTTTTATGGTTTAACGACACCAGCTGCTTCATCTTTAATGCCTGCCAAAATGTTCCTGTTTAGAGGGTGAGTGTATTCATGAAGATCAAATGGTTCCTCGAGGTGAAGAGTTGGGTTTTTTAAAGTGAAGATTTACAAATCATACTGGTTTTTCATCAGTCATTCATACACATTTTGTTTTGTAGCAATTATAATTGATAAGTTACCTATCTGTTGATTAATTTTTATTCCCTGCTCCCTCTCCTTTCATCCCAGGAACTTTTCAAGAATGATTCTGTCTGAACCCTCTCTTCATTTTAAATAATCATGATCTTCTGCCATTGTTACTATTTTGTGACTGACTGATTTTACTTAGCATAATGTCCTATAGATGTTCCCAAGTTATGCAGACTGTTGAAACTTTGTAACTAAACAAAATGTTTACATTCAAGTTTAAATACATGTGCTTTTATTTCCTGAACATTATTTTTGTGATTGTAGATTGGTTTCCAAATTATTAGGGAACGTGTTTACAGATACACATTCATGTATCAATATCCTTAATATGTTATAGTGGATAATATCTTTGATGACATTTTAGTAATTGTAGTTTTGAATGAGATTCTTCAAAGAGAAGAATCTGTAAATTCTGCTTGTTTGGCAACAGGTCTGGCTGTAGGTCTATAGGTTGTGCCTGGATTTGCTGTTATTTATTGTTGTTACTTGCTGGCAAGCCAGTTGGGACTCAGAGCACCTCCGTGTGTAGCAGAGGAAACAGTGCTGGGTACGGTGCCAGCCCCTTATTGTCATGTTTGAACCCACTGTTGCAAACATTGTGTTATTTCATCTTAGTTTGTGTCTTCCTGTTTTGTTTTGTTTTTTTGCTGACCCTCCTCATAACATGTTCAAGGTATGTGAGGTGAATTCTCTCCATTTTGACTTACAAGGAACATTTTGACTGTTTTTCCCCAACACCGATTTGTTTCTTTTTCTGGCTATGATGTATTTAAAATTTTTCACCAACACTAGAATTCTTCGTTTTCCATTATTAATTGCTCATTTTTACCCTGCATAAGAGATCATTGAAAACACCATGAGTTGGGTCAGGCACACTTTAGTCCTCAGATTGACATTTTGCTCTGTAACTAACATTGTAAAGAGATCATTTGCAACAGAGTTTCTCAGTGCAATGTGTTTGTTTTCTTGATTACTATTTTACAGTGTTGATTGTGGATCCAAATAAAATGAAATCCTTGTCACTTCAGTCTTTTTTTGTTACCATGATGTTGCATATTGATCCAGTTGTTAGAATTTTTGTTTTCTTGATGTTGAGGTATAATCCAAACTGAAGACCGTCTCATCTTTGAGCTTTATCCGTAAATGCTCTAAGTTTGTTTCACTTTCAGCCAGCAAGATTGTGTCATGTGTTTATGGATTAATCTTCCTCAAGTGTTGATGCCATGTTCTTCATGTATTACAATTTCTTGTATTATTTGCTCATCATTTCAGATGAAATAAGTATAAATGAGTATATATAGTGTTCTCTAAACGTTTGTTATGTCAGGCTGGCTGATAATGTCTTCTTGATCTTTGGTGATTTTCTGTTTCTGTCAGTTGCTCAGGGAGGTGTATTTCTCAAGTAGTTGCATACACATTTAGCTTTCATTTCAGTTTCTCTGTTGAGTGAGTCCCTGGTTAGGATGTATTCAAGTTGAACTGATCAGCACTGAAGTTGAAACTTAACCCTGCTGTAAGCTGGAGACTGACTTTACTATATGTGCTCACGCACACACTAAAAAGTAACGGTAGATGATACAACCCTGACACACATCCATCCTGATTCCACGCATCCAGTATCCCCTTAGTCTGCTTGAGTTAACAACCTCTTTATCTGTGTACAGATTCTACATGAGCACAATTAAGCGTTCTGAAATTCTCATTCTTTACAGCACTGCCCATAGTTTGTTAAGAGCCATATAATTGAATGTTTTTGTATAGTCCGTAAATCAGAGTTAAACATTTAGTGTTAGGTAATTCCTTGCCGTCTCTCAGAGTTTTGGGGAGGAAAAACCCCAAGGAAGTAATAGATACAGAAATGCTCTTTAAGGCTCATTACAGAGGGAGGTCTGAAGAGTATAGTTCCATTGAGAAACCAGAAACTGGCAGACATTCATATATTCACTAGTACAGATTACTCAAAAGGAGGAGCAATGATTGATGGAAAGATACTGAGTTCCTTTTCTGCTTTGTAGTAACATTGTTACTTTTGATCAAGTTGTATGTTGATGAACTCTAGCAAAATGAATATAATAATTAAGCACCCTTGCAGGATAACTGGGACCCAAGGAAATGACATAAAATACTTGGTGTGTATTAGAAACTCAGTTTATTGTTCTAATGGTGACAGCAGCAATGATAACTAATTTTGCTGCCATGTCGACCATGGAATTATTGTCAGCCTAAAGCCTGTGTCTCACCCACTAGTGTTGCTCTTTCTTCCAAATCTCCCCCCCCATTTTAAAAAGTAGTAACTTGAAGGAAGGTTTATAGAGCAAATTAGCAAATTCTGTTCAACCATTCTCACACATTGTTTTATGATGTTAGTTACTGTGTCCCCACTGTAAGCACACTCTTGCTCATTTCCTCCCAGCAATTCTTATCACCACCTATTCTTCTGCCATCCCTTCCTTCCTTCTGAGCTTTATTCTTGGGCCAGTGCTGCCCTTCTGATCTTGTATAACTGGTTGTTCTGTAGAGTGAGCAGGGAGCTCTGGGAATCCGACTGGATGGCACACAACAACAACAACAACCATGCATGAGTACCTCTGTGGAGTTCCTGTCCACCTTCGAGTAAATGTCACTCTCTGTTGAAAGTGGCTGAAAGTTGAGCTACAGGATGTGAGTTTTATCCTGGCTTTGGAACACTAAGAGCTGTGGTCTTGAGGGCTCCACCAGTCTCTCTTAGACTAGTAAGCCTGAACATTTTTCTGGTATTTAGTTTTGGCCCATAGTTGTCTTCTCCATTGTCCCGGACCACTCATTAGGATCCCTTTGAGAGTAGTCAGCAGACGTAGTTGGGGACCATCTAGTTCTTTCAGCATCAGAGTTTGTGTACGTTAGTTACACAATCCAGTAGTTTTCTGGACTAATTGTTTCTCTGCTTTCCCCTCCTGTGCTGGACAGGGAGAGGACTAATAGTTTGACCTTAGGTGACTGCTCTGAAGCTAATAAGACCCTACTCACTGTCACCAGAGTAGGGCGTAAAACATGGTCTTTGTTGACACATTATGCCACTTGACCTTCATGTCCCCCAGAATGAATGGTTCCGAAACCCTGCACCCTGCACCTGCGACCAGTAACTCATTCCCTGGGGATATTTGCTTATGACTAAGAAGTTCACATAACTTTACCCTCTGGTGGCTCTACTGAGCAAATATTTCTTTGGCTAGTAAAATACTTCTGAGAGAAGTCTAGTGCTTTTGGAATCATATTTGTGGCTTGAAAAACAGCTCATCTTACAGGAAGTAGTCAAGAATGTTCTTTGTGTCTTAAATGGGAAATAACAGTGGCTGAGGCACAGAAGCAGCACTTAGTTCCTGCCCCTGTGGTTAAAGGGTTTGCATCATTTATCACAACAAGGTGGCTACTTAG